ATATATATATTCGCTGTTAAAACCCTGTTAATCGCTTATTTTGTCATTTTGAAATATCGTTCAATATATTATTATGATTAATTTTTAATGTTTAATATGAATTGCGTTTAATCTATTCAAGTGCAATGATGGGAATAATAACATATTGTCCTTTACTTCTCAAATGTAGTAGTACTGATGAAATATTAAGTTGAAAATTAGAAAGAGTTTTTAATGCAAGGTTTTGGAAAATTTCGATTTCTTTATGTCAGAAAGTCTAGAAAAAAACAAATTTAAAATCAATAGAACTGTTAGAGGAAAAAAGACAGGTCATAGTTAGCCATCTAATTATGACCTATTAGTAAATCATTATTTAGGGAATGCGTTCCTTACAAAAATGTGGAGAATGTCATTAGACAAAATTATTTCATGTTTTCTTCTAGTATACACTAACCAGTTTAAACGCCTAAGTAACAATAGTAATATAGCATTCCGTTCAATTATATATTAATCAACTATCGGTGCAATATTATTTAAAGAAAACCAACATATAACTAGTTATTTAAGTGTTACAGTATACTGTAATAAAAACTATAGATAAAAATAAATTAACACTTTTAATCGATATTCTACAAATAACATACCTACTAATAACATAGGTTGGTTTTATTTTATTTTTTATAGTTTGATAGTCTTAGAATGTTTTTTTGAGGACATCTGGGCTAGGGTAAAGTGCTCCGAATAGCAGCTCTTCAATTTGAGCCTCAGAAAACTCAAACACTCGTACAATTGCAATACGCAAATAAAGTGCAGACATTATAACAATAAATAACTACTAGTTATCCATTTTACATAATAAACTAAAACACTAATACATATAATGACACTGATTTTGTGTAATACTGATTTTTAAATGAAACTATAATCGTAAAAACAGATTTTGTCTATCTGAGAGGTTTTTAATCTTATATTTTTATTTTATGAATATAAGATTATTATTATGATATTATAGACTCAATAGTATTGACAGTTGTTGGGCAATAAAGATAAGCGTTTATAAACACAACTCATAAAGAACGACTACTAAGAGTTTCCAACCACCTTATTATTACCTCATTAATTTTATTTAATTTTATACACCGACAAGTTGTATGATCATTTAATTATTATTATGCAAATAAGATTAATTATAACAAACGTATTGTTTGATATTTGTGTGTGGCCAATGTAAAATTGTTTTGTTGTGCGAAAAAAAAACTCTAGGGAACAAGCGCGATTAATTTTTCTAGCCGTTAAGTGATAAAGCTTACTAAGCATATGACAGCAGGTAAATTACTATAATCTGATTATTTTGCATCAGGCACATGAGGGTATAATTTTTTTTGTGTGCTATATTCACCGTTGTTTACTAATAAAAATTAAATGTAATGAAAATTATTATCAATTACTTAACTAGTTTTGTCTGTGTGCTGTATGATATTATAAGACAGATGATTATAAGGCAATTATATTCTGGATAATCCGTTGTACAATAAGTACCGGTACAAGGACGATCTAATACCGCATGCTGTTCGATAATATAACATATGTATGCCAAGTATAGCTTTAATTACCTTTGAGTAAATTAATCATGTTGCTTATTTACATTTTTTTCTATTTTTTAAATCAAACAATAGATGTATAATGTTCTATTCCTGTAGTGTAACAGTTCCAGCACGATGGGTCACAATAATAATGTATATAAATCTAGGTACATATGTAGTTCAGTGTATGTATGTATCTATGATATTTGTAGGCGTTCCAATTTAGCATATACAGAGTGATTCTTTTATAATGAGCCACTTGATATTTCATAAAGTTTAAGAAGACATTTTTTTCATATTGTTTTTACACAATGTGATAAACTCAATTTTTCACTACTTTTTTTGTTTTTACCCCCTCCTAACTTAGTTTTTTTGACAACAACTTTTGAAACTTAAATGGTAACGTTATAACAAATCATTATCACGTCACCAAGACTGGGTATTTGTGTTAACCAACGAAAATAAAATAAAATTGGCTGATCTAAAAAAAAGTATTCATAACAGTAGCCTATGTGGCATCAGCGCAAGCATTAAAAGGAAGGAACTCTGAATTTGACCATCGAAAAATAATTAGGTACTCTTTTTAAATTTAAAATTCGATCAAATAATAGAATGTTTGATAAATTATTTTCTTAAAATTGCACTTACTTAAATCGCTATATTGCATAATATTTATTAGGAAACATATTCTGGGAATATTGATCTCCAGAAAATCGTAACCTTAGAACAGTGGTTCATAATCTTATTAAAACTGGCACTTCCCTGAGCAACAAACCCTTTTTTCAACGCCTCTTCCCTACGTGAAAATAGGTTTTATTTCTTTGTTTTGCGAGGATAATTTTCTTGGAACATTTTTCATGTTAACTTAGTGGCAAATTTAGGATTATAATAATTCCGTGGCTGCCGGTTGTCGGAACAATGTTAAACATAAATTTTCAATAGTCCCTAAAAATAAATTTTTTCTGTTATAGTAATTGAATAATCAATTACAAGTCACAAGCAATTTTTAAACATTATATTATGATATTAAAACTTAAGATATTAAAACTACTTATTGACTCTATTTTGGAATAGTAATAATATTACGAGATTAACTCACATTTGAAGGCGACAATAGCGGGAATGGGAATCATCGAGTGGATATTACGTGGATTTAAGAAAAATCAGAAAATATTCAATTTCATTATTTGTCTAGTCTGTAATTATTGTTTGCGTCGCTGTAATTTATCAGTTTCCATCTATTGATTGTAAACATAACACTCAGACGTATTTTTCGGGAGGTTTTTTAAGGCCATGTGACAATGACGAATGCAGTAAGCATAGGTACATTTATAATATTATATGATGTGGTTATCTACCCAGCGAGCTTATAGAGAATATTATATTATTGTGTTGGTGAATTTCGCGCATCGTTTTTAATTTATTTGATTACCTATAATTTTCAAAAAAAAATCTATATTTCATAGCAATGATCACTGTACGTCAGTATTACATAAGTGCACGTGACCCGCGGTAGTACTCCAATCAAAATGATTAATCCGCAGTGTTCCTATGTTTGGTTATTTAAGTTATTTTTTTATGACAACAATAGTGTGATACGATAATATGGTGTGTGTAATAATAATAATAATATGCGGTTTATCAGAATGGTTAATCCCTACACGCCAACCCTCACGCCTTTGTCATTTTGTTTTGTCCGTTTTGTGTTTACACAAAACTATTAACTCATACGATTAGTATAGTACCTACCTTGATGTTGACGACATATACTCGGTATAATAATATAAACCAAACTAAATCAATACACTTCCGATAAGCTTGCAAATATTATAATTTATTACTCATTAAACCGTTTTGTTTTCATATGAAAATACAATATGATCACTGGCTGGGCATATTCAATTTCACGCACCGTTTTTAATATATATTTGATTACCTATAATTTTAAAAAAAATCTATACTTCATAGCAATGATCAAAGTCGACCATAATTTATAATTTATTTTTTATTAAAGTAATAGGGGCGTACTAAATCGATTTGCCGTAATGCTAGTACAAACAGAATATGACCAGTTTTTAACAATCCGAATACTAACCGCTTAATTTAAACAACCGTAGCATAAATTGACTGTAATCCTCCAAATCGCTATTGTCATTAAACAAATTTTAACAGTGTACATTTGATTTAAATCCTAAAATATGTATAAATACTGGTTAATATTGTATTACCAGTACAGGCAATACTGTACAGGCCAGCTACTAATGCTATTATCTGTGTTTTCGATATGTAAATATCACACACGCACACTTGCGTGAGCCATAATAAAATGCATTACCGACCATCACTGCTTTTAATCGGAATTCAAAGTACTCACCGATTAAATACCGATTTTTTCGTTAAATTTGTTTTTATTAGTTTAACGACAAAATATTTTATACTCACATATTACATAATTTAATAAACGAATTATAAAATCCGTGAACGGAGTTGCAGTTGTTCAACTGGCGTTTTTTCGCTTTCTATTGTGAGTGTACTTTGAAATCATTAGATTATCCATCACACAGTATCTCAACCTATTGAATATTGCTGCTTGGAACCGCAAAATTCAGTTGACTTGGGGCTAATTTATTTCATTTTGAGTCCAAAGAGGGTATACTTATATTATTGAACACTCTATGTAGGTACGTGTATGATAGATGGTAGAGACGTACCTTATGTATTTACATATTGGATATTACACAGTTAACACATATTATGCAAATATTTGCATAATATAATAATATCCTTGTTTCTGTAAACAAGTGTATTTAGCACTTTGGTGAAACTAATGAATTTATTTTACAGCGTATGCACTATAAAAAGGTACTTTTTGTTATTTTTTAAGTAGATCGGTATTTTTCTCGTTGTCATTCAAATATTTTCCATGCAGACATTCCATTAGGGAAATTGCGTCGTCGGGCGCAGAACATAATTTATCTACCGTTGCAAGTGTGAACAAAGTTTTATATATACACATCTGACTATCCATTTTGCTGCATAAGCCACTATACAACGATAACGAAAAACCAGACACGGGTGGCGATACACAGGGACATTAGCATCCAGTTTATCCGAACATCGTTCATTCCACCTCCGTTGAATAGCCTAACTTTAAATTGTTTAAAAATTCGCTACTGATACTAGACCTACGTGATGGCTTGATGATTTTCACTTTCGTGCCAGGTTAAGTTAAGTTAACCACATTAGGTGGTCACCTAACCCGATTTGCGGATATGCGAAACTTCTATGTCACAACTTTTGGCACCTAGTCTACAATCACCAAGTCTTGTGTTTCTGTCTTAGATCACTTATAGATAGTTTTAAGCCAGCGACACGAGTTACAATAGGGTATCATACCGTCGTACTTACACATCCGTAATTATATTTTTGGCCTTACAGTTTCAGAGCTTAACGAACTTGCCATGTGGTTTGGAATCCAACAACAACGTGGCCCCCAGCTCGTGCATGGACGAGGAGGACGCCAGTGCAGACGACGATGAACACATACGAGACTTTTTGGTGTACGAGAAAACGTCGACTGCCGCGTCTGATGACGCCTATTCAAAAGTCATCAATGGAGGCACCGGTGGCAACTATGGGAGCAGCGGAGGTGCCGGGGGCGACAACAAACTCCGGATCGAGTATCCGCCCAAGTTCCGCAATGCCCGCAGCATGTCCTTGTCGATGGAGAGGAATGCGTACTGCGAACTGTGTCGCATCTCTGGCCGGAGTCCGGTGCCATTCGAATGCGGAAGTGGCGGATCCGGTATCAGTGACGGGATCGGCCTCAACGAAGACGACAAGAACGTTCGCCGGTATTTTGGATTCACCATCAAACAATACATGGCGCTCGCTTCTCTCGCCTTGGTCGACTTTCTTGGATTCTGCTCCATGTCCGTCATGGCCCCGACCTTCCCGAAAGAGGTGATTATTATTGTTAATCCTAGCTTGACCTGACCCGACTTAACCAAAGCCCTACTGTGCTGACGCTTAAGATTCATAAACATTTTACGTGATTGACATCGGATTGCAATGGTCCGTTATCGTATATAGATTGATCGATTCTTTTTGTTTGCAGGCTGAAAAGAAAGACATGACGTTAGCAGAAGCCGGTTTCGTGTTCAGTTTCTTCGCTCTGATCATGTTCCTTCTGTCGCCTGCCATGGGATCCCTGGTAATTTATATTGTGTAACTAGCGTTTATCTATATCGTCGAGTTGACTACTAACATACGTGTTTCTTTTCTTTTTTTTCTATAGATGCCAATTTTCGGTACCAAGTGTTTGTTTATATCAGGAGTATTTATATCGGGTGTGTGCAATACGCTCTTCGGGTATGTATTCCATTTCAATGTCATAAAAAATAACCATCGCGTGATTAGGTTCGCAGTCGAATAACGTTTAAAAATATATAAAATAATAATATTATTGTTACACGTTTTAGTCTGTTGCCAATGGTCGAAGACAATTTCCAATTTAAAGTACTGTGTTTCTTGGTACGAGGATTGGAAGCAATTGGAGCCAGTGCTTTTTCTACGTCGAGTTTCGTCTACGTTATACAACTATTTCCGGATAACGTCAGTAGCGTTTTAGTAAGTGATGAGTAATCCGCATATTATTAAGTCATTTCATAGGAATAGTCTAAAAGAATTTTGTAGAATTTAGGCTTTTCAAACACCTTTTGAGCTACACCTATCAAATATGTTTTGTGTCACTGCCACTATCGCCGTTTTAACAGGCAATAAAATAAATGTAATAATAACGAATTTATTTGCTCATTTTGTCTAGGGTATATTAGAAACTTTCGTGGGATTAGGAATGAGCGTCGGACCAGCCATAGGAGGTTTGTTGTCGTCGGTAAGTTTACTGAAATACAAAAATTGTTGTGTTTTATTTTATCATTTTTATCAACCGGCTGTTCTTCCGGTGTGTATTTTTATGTTGTAGGTGGGCGGATACGCTATGCCATTTTTCGTCGTAGGTTTTTTGATGATCGCCACAGTTCCTCTGCATATTTACTTGATGCCTCCCATTAAAGGTAATGACAAAAAAAACCGCGACGTTAACCATGTGTCTATCTGGTAATTTATTAATGTTATATATGATTTACAGACGGCACAAAAGCATCTCAAGCTGTCGGCAGCCGATCAAAAGGTATTGTCAAGCTGCTGATCATCCCGTCAGCTTTTGTAGTCGGCGCCATTATAACGGTCACATCCAACTTTTGGGCGTCTCTCGACCCGACGCTAGAGCCACATTTAAGAGAGGTGAGTGCCTTTGTAAACCTCTTAGGCTACTTTCGTTAATTACCGCATCATTAAATATTATGCCAACGATTAATACCTAACTTCTGCTGAGTTGTAATTGACAACATGTGTTTATCTGTTCTGTTGCCGAGTCGTCGGGCCATACGATTCGAGCTTGCCGCTGTCGTGATAGCGATTAGTGCTAACCGCGAACGATTCTAAACTCCAAACCTAACTTATACGGCCATCTATAAGCAGTGAAAAACTACGATCAGTCTGACCATTTATATTGCTATAGTTATTGGTTTTTTTATTAGGAAATGTCGGTAAACAGTAGCGAATTGCTATGACGTACTGTGGTAAATGGTTTTATACATACACGTGAGAAATGTATCGTTTTGTACAACCAAAACGCAGACATGTTAAAACGTTGGGCAGTGAAGGTAATCTCGTCAACTTGTAAATTTGGGATAGCTCTATCTCGATTCTTGATACACAGAGATCATGGTTCATTAGCGGATCTTAAGAGGGGAGGAAGTTTCATAATTTTAAATTTTGGCATTTAACAAGGATGAACAATTTGGCACAGAAGGACACTGCAGTTGTCTGTGCAATCAGATAATTGCCTATGTACATGTTTGATGTAAAACCAGATCGCTAATACTACTGAACGATCTTAGATAAATTTAAAAACAAAATCAATTTTCATGCCTAATAATTTGATCGATGCAGTGAAGTGATACATAGTATAGATTTGGACACTGTCATCGAAGTCGATACACCTAATTATTTTATACAACGAATGATATGAATGATATTATACGTACAATTTATACTTACAAAACGGCTGTCCGGCTGTGACTTATAACTATTAACTTAATAATTATATTTAAATGTCTCTACTTGACGGTATGAGATACATCTGATATCTCGCATGAATGTACCCACGCGAAATTATTCTAATATATAGCTTATGACTTCGTGTACTAGATGGGTCTGTCCACCGACGAAGTTGGACTCGTATTTCTATTCTGTTCAATACTGTACGGCGTATCCAGTCCGTGTTGGGGTTACTTGGCCGATAAATACAACAACCACTGGTCAATGATGGCAGCCGGACTGTTAGCGTCGGCTGTCGGGCTATTCATCTTGGCTCCTTTCACCTGGTTGGGAGTGACCGAAGAGTAAGTACCTGGCCATTATAGTACCTAATAAATAATGTTCATTATGTCAATATATTTTCAGTAAGTATCATTCATAGTATATTTCCTTGCATACATTTTCTATTAGGTGCCCTAAACTAGTAAAACGTTTATCGTGCTTTTATGACTATTGTGAACGTTGACTGTTTAATCCACTGTCCATTCCACGTCATTAAAAATAATTGGCAATTTTGTATCATACACGATTAGTTTTTCTTTCTCTGCATTTTCTTTAACTATCAAGAACCTTATCGTCACTTGATAAAACTGAACTCTTTTTACGTTGGTATTAGCAAATCAAAAAGCGTGAAACCATATGGACCAAAGTTGGACAGTAATATTTTACTATTGTGCCTATTATGCAGCTATTTTCCGGGCATCGTGCACATAAAGTTGCACCATAAATCAAACAGTGCTCTTTAATTTGTTATTCAGTTTAAACTAACAGTGTTATATTATATTTCTAGCGTTCTGTGGTTGAATTTGGTTGGCCTTGGAATACTAGGTGTGTCCGCGTCGTTGACGATGATGCCGGCGTTTAATTTCATCTTGTCCAGTGCAATGTAAGTGCGGTTAGTCCGTCACAAAATCGGCGCCATAATGTTTTCAAGTATCTAAAAATATATTAAAACTGCTCGTTTCTTTTTTTTCACAGTGATAACGGATTTCAAGAAAGCGTTTCCACGTTCGGCACGGTCGCAGGGTTTTGGTCGTCGGCTTACTCGCTCGGGTTAGACACCTACCATTTATAATACCTATATCGTTTGATCGCGTTATTCCCACGTGAATCGCGTGCATGTTTTAATTTAATTGACACGTCATATTTTGCTGTTGGTTTATTTTAGCGACATGACCGGTCCATCGTTGGGAGGCGTTTTGCTGCAACATTTTGGTTTCTCCGTTTGCATGACCACGATGGGGCTGTTGTGCTTAGTAGTCGTGAGTACATAAAAAGGACTTTCAATTGTTGCTCAGACGACATTTCGGTGCCAAACTATATTAACGGTCGGTCGGTTTTTTTCAGGCCGTCATCACGATAACTTTTTTTGGGGTTTTGAAGAAAAAAAAAAAACGTCCGCGGACCATTTCGGACAAGAGTCCATTAAACGACCCGAGGAACGCACAACCAAGGTATAACTCGTTGAACGACGACCGAGGAGGATCGATGATCAACTGCAGTTTTGCATGCAAAACCGAAACCACCGAAGTGTGAATAAAATCTGTAAGCGCGACCGTCGTCGAGACCTTTATTCGGCCCTCGACGATACTACCGGTGATAGATAAGGCACACGGGTACACCTATAGTGCTTTATCAGTACTCGTGTCGGTCCCCCCCACCCCCCCCCCCCACCCTCGGTTCCCCTCTTGTTTCGTGTTTTAACGTGGTTATCTATTCCGTGCCTTTGAGACTTCCCAAGCGTATGTTAATACATGATTTTAATGATACGACGCTCGTGTTCGTGAATTTTTAACAGGTTTTATAGCATATTGTACATTTATAATATTATTATAGATTAAATATGTTGTACAAGGTGTACCACGGGGGCTTACTCATTGCAATATCTCTTAACCTTTTAAATAATAATTTTCGATTTAGTTTTTTCAAAAAAAAAAAAAATTAATAAATAAATAACAATAATTATAAAAAATATCAATTTTTTTTTGTTGTTAATTTCTAAACTTATTTATTAGAGAATGGTCAACTGGACACGCTTTATTTAATAGTTCTTCGGTCAATTTTATGGTTAATCCTAATTATAGCAAAAACTACGTTTTAACTGTTTTAAATTTGATGTTTTCCCGTGAATCCAAAACAAGTGATTATTTTCTAAAATTAGATTTATATTTATCGCCGCCTATCGATGAGTTATTTCGTTCTCAACTTACAAATTAATTATTTTTTAGGTGATCATTTTCGTATTTTTTAAAAAACTTGATATTAGCTAATGTAAAAAAAATATAAAATATCAATTGAAAAAATTGCAAAACATATATATTTAAAACTTTAAAATGTACCTGATTTAATAATGACGATATTGCAATGGGTAAATTTTCATAGGACAACCTGTACCCAAGTACAGGTTATTAAACAACTCAATCAAGCAATGCCACTACAGTGTTAGTTAAGATACGAACCGTTGCCGATATTTTAAAATTGCGTTGAAATTCAAATACTATCTCGATTCTCGACTTTAAGAACTTAGTAGAATTTTTTTTGTATTTGTCTATTTAATCTGCTAATAGTTGACAATATATTAGTAATTATTATCTTTTTTATTTGCAGGTGAACCGATCTAAAGAAACGAATGAATTAGTTTTAAGTTTTAGTCTTTATTTTTTATGTATAGCTCTATAGGAGAATATAGACGGTTAGTTAGACGGATAATTTACATTTTTTTTTGTCAATAGTTTTTAATTCATATTTTTATTTGTTTTTAGTTTTTAATATTATACTATAACGCTATGCTTCACACCCGTAGTAAATATTTATAATTAATTATATTATTCAGTAAATTATTATTATCGTTTTAATTGAAAATATGTTCGTTGTTTTTTTCTAATGTATTCTTTACATTATATTTATATATATATCTATATATATATTAATGTCATATTATTAATTATTTTAATAACTAGGTACTTATAGTGTTTTTGTAAATTTAATTGTTCCAAAGAGTGTTTTATAAAATCGTTTTTTCTCTTTCTCTACTTTTTTTCATAATAATTAATGTTTTGTCGCGTAAATAATACACTATGGTATATTTATTATTATTATTATTGTTAATAGTTTAATCATATATTAACACATTTATAATATATATATTTATAGGTGTATATGTATATGTATATATGTATACCTGTTTGATTTTTAGTGTGAGTACACTCGTGTTTAGGTACTATGTTTTTTATGGGAAATTGTACATTTTCACTACTCAAAATAGATGGTTGGTTGATATTTGACTTGAATTAATTGTTGCTTTTTTTGATTTATGAAAACGGTTAAAGGAGTTATAGCTCACCTTATTCTGTGCCGACGACGTCGGCCAGACAAAATTATCCTTCACCATTTCTCCACTCACAATGCCCTTTTATATGATCGTTTATTGATTCTATCTAGATTACATTTAGCCACACGTCCAAGCGTCCATTTGAGCTTTGTTATTTCAGTCATTGCCATTAAACCCGATATTTAACCACAACCTTTATTACCCTCCTTAAACTAGCGCTTAAGTATAGGTGACTGAAAAATACAGCAGTATATTAAGCAACTTGAACACATTCTACAATTTGGAATGTACGCTAATGTCAGTAAAATAAATTCAACATAAGTCAGCAGTCAGTAATGGGGCTGTAATTTGATTTTTTTTATTATCGTCGACAAAGAGTATTTCTAATTAGTTGTTTTGTCCTTCTCGCCTCATTCCATCGAGATGAAGTAAGCCAGCGAAATTCTCTCCTCTGGTATCTCTACACCATCATGTCTTATTTATCTACCCACGTATATTTGGTTTTTTAAGTCTTATCCATTTCACTATCGCGACTCCCCTATTCTTTTAACATGGCTAAACCATTTCCATAATATATTATATTCTCTCCCAACTCCTTATTTTCTAATTTCTTATTTTCCGTGGTTATAATTTATTAATTACGATTCCAGTTTCGAATATTGTTTCAACTATTTAAAAAAATATCAAATTATTTTTCCAGGAGCTAGATATAAATGATTTGCGCTTAATGGAAAACTAAAGAAAACGTGTTTTTTTAGTAGGTAGGTAAATTTTTAAAATTTTTAATTTTGCGTCCTTTTTTTCACTGTTGGGCTTAGCCAATGTTCTGCCCCCTAACCCTCACGTACCACGACCCTGATTATATCCCCCAATATACATACACGACACTGTGGGATATGGAAAATAATAAGGTAAGTGGTAACGTAAAGAAGTCTTAAGTTTTCTTTGAGAATTAGATGCTGTTTATTAATATTGTTATTTTCAAGTGAAATTACAATTCCGAAAGCTTTGAAATTATACATGCTCTGTGATGAAGAAATGTTTCTTGACCATTAGAAATAATTAGAATACATGTATTAGCAACTCTACCAGTATAAGCATGCCTCTGCTAGAAAGGAGTTTCTCTACACTTGGGAGAGTTAAAACCTGGCTTCGTTCAAGGATGACTGAAGCCTTAATGACTATCAGCATTTGGTCTTAATCAAAGTGTATAATAAAGTGGATGTTTTAGATCATATTTATTTTAGATCATATTTATCATGTTATTGATATTTTTGGTAAAACTAAAAATAGACGGCTTGAATTTGTGTTGTAAAAATTGTTTGTTGTTTTTTTTTTGTTATTAACTTTTCTGAAAATTATGACTTAGCCCCCCACCCTTTCCAACCAAGTCTCTGAGGCCGCCCCTGCCGCCAGCACGGTCGGACCCCGGTTGACGTAAAGGATTTCTTATTTATAAAGTCGCCGGGAGCTTTCAATTAGATTGTTTCTAATAACATAGCCAATGTAAGCTGAAGAAAAAAATAGTAATAATAATAATAGTAATAATAACAATAACCCGCGGGAATCGCTATAGCTGTCGGTATGATATTGTTGGCAAGTGCGATAAAAGCTGTGCAAGTAGGTACTATAATATAAGACATGCTGGTAAGTAGAATTCGGCAAAGGGGGCACACGCCAGCCGGGTAAATCAACGAAAAATGAATTCCCCAAGAGTATTAATATACAGGCAACACTGTCCGAGGACAAGTTTAATATCATTATACTGTCGTTTGTATGTATCTATATTAAATATAATTTTAAATCTATCGAATGTTAATATAATATATAAATATGGTATATGTGTGTCGGACACCTCCGGGCTTTGGTCGGTGCCGGTTAAGCCAGGACGCGTTGTCAAACGGGTGGAAAAAGCAACAAAAAAAAAAAACCTGAAATTTTCAACGATATTCGACACCGAGTCTGATTTAGTAGGATTATCGGATTTGTAATAATATGGAAAATCGTTCTGCTGGTCGTGTATAAATAAATTCCATGATCAATAAAACGAAAAGGATACGGTTAGGTAAAATATATACCTACGCCATAGGCGATACTTTATTTGATATTCGGTTGAATTTTGACGCTTGTACGGATAATGGAGTTTATTGGATTATATTATAAATTCTGGGAATTATCAACACGCGATAGTCATGACAATATTGCAGCTGTGCTTTTTCCGATAACCGCCCAGAAAAACATTTTTAATATAAATATGTTCAATGAAAAAAAAAATCAAGAACTATACAAAAATAACTACCTAGTACCCACTATAAAACTCATAGAATAAAGATTAATTTAAATCAAATTACTGAAAACTCTCAGGAAAGAATAACTAATAATTTCCCGTTAATTCATAAATAACATTATTGTTGCCAAAAGTCTTATAATTAACTTTAAACACCCGTAAATAAAAGCAATTATTTATTAACGAATGTAAAATTGTATGCGAGATTAAGAGTTCAACAGAGAACCTTTTAATTGTGTAATCGTTGGAAAAATACAATTTAATTTAATCAAGCGGTCTACCCTTCGGAATAACAAGAGACAAAGCACAATGATAAAAATTTAAAACAGAAGATTTGCAGGAAACAATGTTCCTTTTATATTAACGAATTCGCTTGAAAAAATATTTTTATTTTGTTGTAATTTAATTAACTGAACAAATAAAGGTTTTAGATTGGTAGACATAGAATTGCGAAAACACTAAATACATAAAGTATGTCTGAGCCATGGCCCATGCCACGTTTATTTTTATAATTAAGTTTTAGTGATTTTTAACAAAAAGGACTAGATTACTGCCATAACACATGGCTGTTTGGCAGACTGCATTGTACTCCTTGTTTTTTGTGTGTCTCTATAGACTTCATAAGTTGGTCTAGTATGGCATCAAAGTGGATACTTGGTCTTGTAAGGTACGTTTAGTGTCCCATTTTAGCAACTATTTCAAACGGACAAAAACTTAAAAAGTCAGCCAAAAGTTAATATTTTGTAACAAAACTTATTTTTACTTAATATTGTAAAAATAAACTCAATGTAAATTATATTTTCAAGTTTAAATAAAATCCTACGTTCTATTTTATAATTTTTCACATTTCTTTTTTACGTTTCTTTAGAACTTTATTATAAGAATAAATAAATTATTATTATTAACTTGATTACATTTTTTAATACAATTTTAAACCGCACGAGGAAAAATAATTTAAACAGCGTACTAAACTTACAAGACATACTTCAATCGCACATACAAAAAAAAAAACAGCATATTTTATAGTCAAACAAATAAAAAATATTCATACATGACAAGTTTTGGCAACAGAAAAAACTACAACATTAAAATACAGTAATTCCTTATTGTGTACTTGTAGGTTTTTTAGCATATTGAAGATGGTAAAAGCAAAATGATAATATTTATTAAAAAAAACATAGGCGTGGGCGTCTTGTAGTATAACTTGCCGCGCTGAATATAACAGACACAAACCATGGGCACTTTTGGCTTTAATTTTATAATGTACCTATAGGCTATAAATATTAATAAATAATAATTAGGTATCATTTTTAACGTACAGCCAGGATTAATAATAATAATAATAATAATTTTCAGGAGTAATTTTTGTCGTGAAAAATCTCTTACGAGTATTTTGTATGACGCGGGACGCGTCATACAAAATAATCTAATTTTTATTATTTTTAATATTATAAAATGGTTTGGGGAATATTGTTGTCTATATTCTAGTGCAAACTCCATCGATAAGGATCTGTTTGTAAGTGATCATATTTAAACTAGACAGAAAACTTTCCATAGTGTTGCCGAACTGGCGGGCACGTACGTGAGTGACTTATTTTTATATTTTCGTTGAATACCTTTGTTCTTTGTTACTTCTATCTTCGTAGATAATATTATGATGAATAATAGTTTGAAAAGGCATTTCATGGTTTTATTCCACGTTTTAGATTTATATTAATTAAAAAAGTCAATGTCGCCCAGTTATTACTGCTGTTTCCAATGACTTCACCGATGTCTGATGTACTTATAGTAGTAATCTTTGCCACTACTTAAACTGTTCTACTTAAAAAATGTATACCTCGACATTTAAATAATATTAATCTCGAATATATTAGCTCAAACTGCTTCTATCAGTGTTAATTTTGATTATTTTTGATAACTCTTTAATAATTTGTTTTAACGAATTCTATTTGATCAAATATTATATTGTTAAACGTTTTGTTATTTATTTATCGAAATCAACTTTGAGCCGTACCCGTCTATTAACGTGGAGGTATGTAGGTAAATATTTTGTATTAACGCCTGAACGGGTAAATTCAAAAGCGATAACAATGTACCATACATGGCGTGTACTTAAACTGCACTAGTACAGTGGTAAATATGAATATATTTATTTATGAATATAGTAGGTAAAATGGAAATGGCTACAAGACTGAATGGTTGTTTGTTCAAACGATGGCGTGTACGCCAGCATCGATCGAGCCCTTAAGTGAAGCGTTATAAATAATATAAATAAACTACATTGCAGGGAAGTCAGCATTATTACGAAGAGAGCGCCTAAAGACGGCACCTGCGACAATGCATTCGTGGGGAGAAGAAAGCGTGAGTGTCGCAAAAGTACATAAAAAAAGAAACATTAGCTGCAAAAGCGGTTTACGTTAAATTGACGGTAACGCGGTCAGACTAAAGCAAACAATACAGTCCATCGACCGAGGAGACTGCTGGCTTTCGAAAATGACTTTATGTAGCATTTGATAAGACTTAAAAGCATAACTTTCCCTGTATACTGCGAGGTAATTAAGGTGACAGAAATAAAGCTTTAGTGAATACGAAATACTTTAAGACCCTTATTGCGCACTCGACGCCTTCCAAGGGGGTCCACTTTAGGGTCGTAATTACATCGAGAAAGGGAG